GGGGGGGGGGGGGGGGCCCGGACACTGGCCCCAGGAGCTTGTCGGTGTGGACTCTCTGCCCACGCCTGGAATTGGGGTGTTGTGGGAACCGGCCATGTGGGGCATACACGCAGCCTGGACGGAAGTCCCTCAGCCTCAGAGGAGGGACGGGGGTCCCTTATGGTGTCCAGGGGCGGGGGCTGGGCTGGGGAACGTCCGGCCCGAGGGCCGTAGAAGCCCTGAGAATCCTTTGGCCTGGCCCTGCCAGGGCATTAGGGCGAGTTAATGAAATGTGTGGCCGAATCCAGCAGGCTGGTGTTTCCGTGGGTAATTCTGTGTGGCCCGAGAATGACTACAAATGCCCACATGGCCCTGGGCAGGAGAAAGGCTCCCCACCCCCATGCAGATGCGCCCGAGGGCCGGCCCGCGGCAGCCCCTCTGAGCAGGTGAGGCGCTCTCTGGCCTTCCGGGGTGTCCCCAGGCGACAGAGCGCCCTCACCTGTCGGGACAGGTGCCGAGGCTTGCGTGAGCAGCCCAGCGGCGAGGCAGAACCTCGCACAGGCGCCGACAGTCGGACACTCATGACTCCTCTTCTCCCCGCGCGGGGAGGACCCTGTGCGAGCTCCCGCCATCCCCCTTCACACCTGACATCTCCTGTCCACCTGCCCCAGGAGCCGTCCGGGCGCTCCTGCCAGAGAGCGTGCTGGGACTGTCCACTCAGCCACGACGACTCCCGACGCCTGCCCCTGGGCGGCCGGGGCGGGCTGTGGGCCTGCAGCCAGCCCATCGGAGAGTGAATTTGGACGCGAAGCCACTGTTAAAGTGCGAGGTGCCCAGAGAGGCCGCCTGCCCCAGGGCAACGGGGAGTCAAAAACCCCGCTGGGGGCTCCACTGTCAGGCCCGGGGCCCGGCCCCACAGCCGCCTGCCCACCCCCTGCAGGTGGAGGCCTGAGGGCCCCCTGCTCCCCAAGCTCCAACGCCAACCTCCGCATCTCAGTGCCGGACCCCCCACCTCCTGGGGGACCCCTGACAGCTGGTAGGCAGAAGTCCTGTCCTGTTCCCTGGTGAGGGTCCCCTCCCTCTCTCTGCAGAAACTGGGGTGGCGTTCATGCTCCTGACCTGGGGAGGGAAACACACACGTGCATGTGCACGCACACGCACACCCACACCCAAACGCACGGCACACACGAATGCATGGCACACACACACCCACACCCACACCCACACCCACACCCGAATGCATGGCACACACGAATGCATGGCACACCCGAACGCACGCACACATGAATGCACGCCCCATGCTAGAGGTCCCCGTTTCATTGTTCCAGAGTCACCTGCGAAGCCCCATGACCCACTGTTAGCAAACGTCTTAGCGAAGTCCCCAGCTCCCAGTGAGAAGGGCAGTGCAGGTGGAGGAGGGGAGGGCGGGGCGGGGGGAACTGCCCGGGTGGAGGAGCACTCGGAAGGTGAGGAGGGAGGAGCAGGAGAGCTGGAGGAAATTGTGGGGCTGAGGGTGAGGGTGAGGCAGCCCACGAGATCAATTAACTGATAAATATTTGATTAGAACTTGTGCTAACTTACATCTTCCCAGCGCCCCCTCCTCCCAGGCTCCGAGAGAGGGAGGCTCTCTCACCTGCTTCCTCTCACTCACCCCGACTTCCCCAGTCCCCTCTGGCCTGGGTCCCATTCGGGCCCAGTGACGCTGACACACGATGACGTCGGGGGAGGTGGCACACGGACTCAGTCCCGGGGGCCCAGGTCAGGCTGCCCCGTCCTGCGGCGAGTCTGGCTGGGTTGGGTTTGGTCCTGGGGTGACTCCGGCCGTGCTTCTGGGCCCGCTGGGCAGAAACAGCGCGAGTCACCCGAACATCTCCCAGGAGGGGGCCTGGCCCGCGCACGCCCACAGGGAAGGTGTGATGACGGGGAGCCCAGGAAGGGGCTGGGAGAGCCCTCGGTGCACGGGAGGAAATGGCACCGGGTGCAGCGGCCCCGCTGGTGACGCAGGCAGGGCTGGTGTTATGTCTGCGCCCAAGAGAGGGGGCCAAGGTGCGGGGGCCTGGATGCAGGTTCCCCGCGGAGCATAACTGCATTGGAAAGCCTGGCGTGGTTTCCAGAGGCGATGATTCAGCCCCGGGTGCTGGCCAGGCTCACAGCCCAACGTCCTGGCGCCTCGAAGAGCCAGTGGGCCAGCCCGGAGGCGGCGGCAGCCAGGTCAGAGGGGATGCCCACGGGTGCAGAGAGGGGGCTGTTTTACCATATAAGCCGTCACAGGAGAGTTTTTGTGGACAAGCCAAAGTCTGGGATTCAACTGGGGCTGCCCCGGATGGAGGTTAGAGCCCTGGATGGAGGTTAGAGCCCCGAATGGAGGTCTGGTCCCAGATGGAGGTCAGGGTCCCGGCATGGAGGTCTGGTCCCGGATGGAGGTCTGGGTCCTGGCATGAAGGTCTAAGACCCGGACGGAGGTCTGGGTCCTGGCATGAAGGTCTAAGACCCGGGTGGAGGTCTGGGTCCTGGCATGAAGGTCTAAGACCCTGACGGAGGTCTGGGCCCTGATTGAAGGTCTGGATCCCAGGATGGAGGTCTGGGTCTGGGTCCCGGATGGAGGTCTGGGTCCCGGATGGAGGTCTGGGTCCTGGGTGGAGGTCTGGGCCCCAGGATGGAGGTCAGGGTCCCGGGCGGAGGTCTGGGTCCCGGATGGAGGTCTGGGTCCCGGGTGAAGGTCTGGGCCCTGGATGGAGGTCTGGGCCCCGGATGGAGGTCTGGGTCCCGAATGGAGGTCTGGGCCCCGGATGGAAGTCTGGGTCCTGGGTGGAGGTCTGGGCCCCCGGATGGAGGTCT